GTGTGTGTGTGTAAGTGTGTAAGTCAACAGGGACAATATGGTGGCCATATCCCACCATTTAGCTTCCGTGTTAAAGTGGAATAATAATGAGAGAAAGTGAGACTACGACTCATCCTGTTGAGTGCAACAGTGCAACAGAAACCATACTGTACTGTATTTGCAGAATATAATTGAGGTATAACACTACATATTTGGAGTATCAAGTTATAGAAGCTTAAAAGAAGTTTCGGTACATTCAATGACAAATATCTGTACAGATAAACTTAAGAGATCTGGAAAAAAATCTAATAAAAATTGCTTGAAAAAGCTGAGCTGTTTCTAGTGAAATAAACTTTTTATTCTTTACTGGAGAAAATGATTAATACAAACGTCATGTGGACATTTCTCCTGACAATACAGCTCCTGTAGTAGCAGTAGCAGTAGTAGCAGTATTAATAGTATATTAGCAGTAGTCTTTGTGATAGAGGTTTTGTGTTTCAGTCTGTTGGCTGATCATAACACTGATTAATGCAGCTTAAACTCAGCCATCTGTCATCAACACACACACTGTGTGTTTCTTTAGTTGCTCATAATATGGTGTTTATACCACAGCCAGGGGAACATCCTGCTTTCTGATTGGTTGGCAGGTGTCTGTTAAAATCATACAGGAGGACACAATCAATGCTCAAGGTGCATTAGACTGAAGGTTGACTGGTGAAACTAACCATGAGTTAAACTGTCTACAGACACACATGGAGGTTTTAACCACAGCCTCTCTTTGTTCCTTTGATCAGGGGAAAAGACAGAAGATCTCACCTCCTTTCATTGTTTTAATTTTTATACCAGAAAATCTACATTATCACACGTAGAGTCAGTGTTGGAACCACTGGTGGCATGGAGCTGGTGTCCTTTTTATTATTTTCGACATTACCCCACAGACAGCCTGTATTTGCCACTGGTTGGAACTATTTCTTAATGAGCAACAGTTCATCCATCAGGTACTTTTGTACAGCCTCTCAGTCCGTAGCACGGGTTGCCAGATACTGTCAGCGAGGACATGATTTGGTTTTGGTCTCTCTACCATATTATTGTAACTGGTAACCTCCTGGTGAAAAGAAGACTTTACACCGAGTACAAGAAGTTTTTTAAGTGGTTATGAAACCGTCTCAATTTAATACCCAATGTTGAAATGTTTTTTGTGGCTGAGCTGTTCATTTCGAGATTTGCTTTGGGCAAACTTCCTGTGTTATAGGTAATAGATACAAATTAAATCATCTTCTAAAATTTCCAAATGTTGGACCAGAGGGATCAAATGCTCCCAGAAGTTGCAATACAAAGTGTGACCACTACGCCAAAATCTCCTCACAGCCAAATGCTGTTCCTAGGAGCTTAAAAACCATGCAACCGTTGTCACATTTTGATTTAAGTGTTGTTTAACTCTTAATGGTGCATGAAACTATGACATTAGTTTGTCCAAGTGAGTCTGGCCCACTTATTTTTAGTATTATTCAAGTAAAACTACTTGTTATTCCAAATGGCCCCAAATGGCTTCTTTCATGGTGTCACATATATCATAGGATTATTATCACCGATGGGGATGCATTAATGTGTGAGCAGCATTTATGTTAGTTATGTTCAGATGGAGCTGATTTTAACTACTTTGGTGCAGTGTGGATATTTAACTTTTTTTTGAATGAGTGTCTATGTCTTTAAACAAGATGTACAACGAACAAATAAGGCAGATTGGCATTAGAATTGTGAAAACTTTGATTTTAGAAAATTCAGAAAATACTGCACTGTACTATACTGTTGTTTTACTTTTTATAGGAAAATAAAACTTTAAGGACTTAATTCTTGTTTAAAATCACCTGATAAGAAGGTGATTTTTTCAGTGTATTAGTTCAATGCATTAAAAATGTTTTAAATACTTAAAAATACTGTAAAAAGTACAATATTTTCCTGTAAAAATTAGTGGAGTGAAAGTAAAGTAGTATAAAATGGAAATACTCAATAATAACTGAATGAATACACAATAATACTAATGTGATAGGCTACTGATGTGAAGTAGTAGGCTACAAGAACCTCAAAACTGTACCTTAGTGGCCTACTTAAATGTAGCCTACACCCTACAACTGCAAATGATTAGGACATAATCAGAACTGCCTTGAAGCTGCAGTACGCACTTTAAAAAAAAAAAAAAAACTTTTGTCATATTTGTTGAAATGTTCACTATATCCTGACAGAAGTACACAAGACAGTAAAATAATTGGGGTCCTCTGGCTCTTCCTAGTGCCCCTAATGGTATTTGCAAGAATCCACCAGGCCTGAATGAAAACAACCAATCAGAGCTGAGAAAGATAGTTGATTGCTGAGACTCATCCTCAGGTCAGGACATCAAATAGAGATGCTTCGGGACCCTGGGAATCAGACTAAACAATCATTTTAAAGCTTCCAACCCAAAGTGTCTTTATATCTTTCTTGACTGTGATTGGCTGCTTTTATTCAGGCCCGGTGGATTTATACAATTGCTTTTAGGAGCACTAGAACCAGACAGACGAACCAGATTTTTTGACAGATTATCTGTCTCATGTACAGCTGTCAGGACACAGTGACGACTTCAGCAATAATTACAAAAAGTGATTTTTTTAAAAGTTACCTGCTGCAGCTTTAATCGATCATAAACAGACCGACTGACTGCTTTGAGTTCATTCACTGTGTGCGCACTCCCGCTTTGAGGGAAGATACACACGGGAGCGCGCACGCCTGTTGCGCAGACACCGTCGGACCTGCCGCGTGCACGAGCAGTGAGTCCGGTAAAGCTGCTGCCTGTCACCATAGCGACGAGACCCCGGAAATACACCCTAACCTGCCTGGTGATCAGCTTACTGCATGTTTATCTGCCGCTTTGTTTATCAAAGAGGAACGAACTCATACCCGCCGAGTTTGTTTGTTTGTTTACTTGTTCGCGGGTTGAGCCAATAAACATGTCGGAGCCTGAGGAGGAGCTGCAGGGAGAGCAGAGAGACAGCACGAAGAAGAAGAAGAAGAAGAAAGACAAGCGAAGCGGGAGGAAGAAGAAGAAGCAGGAGAAGCGAGAGGAAGAGGAGCAGCAGCAGGTGGAGGAGGAGGAGGAGGAGGAGGAAGAGGAGCAGGAGGAGGAGGAAGAGGAGCAGAGGTGGGTGCTTGTTCTCAGGGTCCTTCAGTTTCAGCTCCTTAAATCCTCCATTTCACTAACAGTGTCAAAACTCACACAACTGAAGTAAAAGCCCGCAGTTAGATCGTTACCATAGAAACGGTGCAGTAATGGTGATCATCAGCATGTAGCTGCTATAATGAACCTAACAGGCCTTTCACTGCTTACTGATGGGCTGAAGAACCACATGCTCCCTCTGCAACTCTTCAATAACAATAATAATAATAATAATAATAATAGTTTTCAGCCAAATGTAGTGAAATTTAATAGAATTTTCTCCAAAAACAGCAAAAGAAAATGCTAATTATTGTGATTTTCCATCCACTATTGTTAGGAGTTGCATGCATCAAAATATTAACGGTCCAGTGTGTAACATTTAGGTCGGACTACTGGCAGAAATGGAATATGATATTCATATAACTATGTTTCCATTAGTGTGGTCCCCTGCATACAGGCACTGGTGTGTTTTTGTTACCTCAGAATGAGCCTTTTCTATCTACAGACGCTGCAGGTCGTCTTCCAGGGAGTCTGCCATGTTGAACCGCCATGTTTCTTTCTACAGTAGCCCAGAAGAGACAAACCAAACACTCTCTCTAAATATTTATGGTCACGCGTTTCACGGCCACCGTAGTAGAAGGGGAGGGGGGCTGTAATTACGTGGCTATATGCCGCTAACTCCTACACATTGGTCCTTTAAACCATTCCAGAGGATGGAAATATAACGCCTACGTTTGTCTCCTCATTGCTCCACACATTTGTCTGCCATTTCTTAACCTCTACAAGCTTCAGTCACATTAAAGTCACATGCTTCATGTAGACGATGTCATCATTGAGTGCAAAACGTCCATTTCGCAATGTTTCACCTTTTGTTTTTATTGATATACCAACTTTTCCACCCTAGCCAATCATAACATCTTCAATCAATTTACAAACAAAATGTACATAACAAAGTGGACAGAGGTGCACTTTGTGTTTTTAGGCTGTAAAATATGAGTCTAACTCCAGCTGTCAGACAGATGTGCCCGGTGATTTGGTGATTTGGTGATTAATCTCAGCTGTATGTTTGATGTTTAAAATACAATACAGGATTTTCCACAGTCTGTTATATGATATATATTATATTATGTTATAGTGGAGTTGACCTGCCTGAAAGAAGGAGCGCCTCCACTAATGTGATTACTTTACTATAAAATATGTTAAGTTTAATAATATATTAAGGGAAAAAGGCTCCAATTCAAACAGCAGTTTACTTAGGTTGTAAAAATAAATACCTGCAAGACATTCCCACTCGCCTCACCTATACTTTCTGTTTACTGCTAAATAACAAATGTTAAACAAACTAAGATGATGTAAGTTGAGCCTCACAGAGCTGCTTGATGTCGACTGCATCAGATCGATGGATGGATAACATTATATTAGTTTAGTTTGTTCACTGATGACAAACAGAATAAGTAAGAGAGAAATCAGATAGTCAGTATGACCCAATGATTGATTCACCTCATTGATTCTATGTGTAAATGATAAAATATTGAATCGATATCCGTTAGAGACCTCTGATTGGTTGAAATCAACTCTGTGTGTGTTTGTGTGTTAGTGAGTGTGTTCTGCTGCGTGGGATCTTCAAACTGGGGAAGAAGAGTCACGACGTCCTGCTCACCCGAACCCGACTAACTTGGACCCCCATCACTCCGGAGACCCCCACAGGTCAGTTACCACAGTGACTGGTTGTCATGGTGATAGGTTGTCTTGCCGCTGACAGACATACAGACAGACAGGCAGACAGGCAGACAGGATCAGTATCAAACAGCACCAAAATTACTACAGAGAGGCAGTGATCACCTGGAACCTTCCTGGAACTTTCTCCAGGACCTCTGCAACCTACTCAAGGACCCTATTAACCCCTCAAGGACCCTATTAACCCCTCAAGGGTCTCTACAACTTCCTTAAAGCCTCCTCAAGGACTACTGGAACCATTTCAAGGACCCATATAACTGTCTCAGGGAGAACTTCCCCAAATGAGTCCTGGAAGTCAAGGACCCCTGAACGAACCCCTCCAGGTGTCTGTCTGTATCTGTCAACTGTTCTGAGTTTCTATTGGGCGAAAGCGGCGTCCTCCGTCAGCTTACGTGATTGGACAGCAGGCAGGAAGAGAGAGCGCGTGTAGCGGCAGCGGGAAGCAGGGCCAGAGCGGACCCTCAGAGAGAGAGAGCGAGTGGTAGGGGGCGAGCGACGGCGGCGACTCCTCCTGGACGGGAGGGTCACTGAGGAAAGACACCACAGAAGAAGAAACTGAGAGAAAGGCAGACAGACAGACAGACAGACAGACAGACAGACAGGTACCATCTACTTCTTGGCTGGGTGGAGGTGGAGGGGGCGGGGCTGGCAGTTCTGAACCCTCATTGGCCAGCGGAGGGAAGCCGCCATCATCAGAGGGAGGGGGGGGAGGAGGAGAGGGAGGGGGGAAGCTGCTCTCCTCCTCCACTGAGGAGACAGAGGAGGTGTGATGTCACTGTGATGTCACTGTGATGTCGACAATGTTGACAATCTGTCGTCAGGGTAACCTGATTTGTTGCTGTAAGTAACCTCACCTGTCTCGAGGCTTAGGGGCGGAGCCGGCGGCAGATCGCTGTGATTGGCCGGAGCACCTGAAGGGGGGGGTGGAGGAGGAGGAGGAGGGGGCGGAGCCACCATCTGCCCTGACGAATCAGGCGGTGGAGGCGGAGGGGGCAGGGCCGAGGCGTTGATGACCTCGCCATTCGGAGCCATTTCATTGGCTGTCAGAGGAGGAGGAGGCGGGGCGTCGTCCAGCAGCGTGCTGATGATGTCACACTCAGGTGGAGCCTGGTAGGCAGCCGGGATGGCGGGCGGAGCAACGGGTTTCCCAAAACTGGAGCTGAGAGAGACGCTAATCAATCAATGTGATCGTAAAGAGTTAAAAAAAGCTGATTGATAATGGATGATAAAGCCTGTGCCTGAGAGACAAAGACCAGGGCAACAAAACTGCACCGCTGCTTTTATTGTGAAAATCAATCCTCAAACAGCTGGAAACTGGTCCTCACAAACATAGTAA